TAACGGTTAGGTATTTTAGTCAGGTGGCTAAGTGCAAAATTTTGGTCAGACCTCCACTGAACATATATACCGCATACACAAAATCGAGCAAATCGAGATTTTTTATGGCATACAGCACACATACATCCCAACTGTAAAGATTAGTGTTGCTCGCAGCAATTATTCGTGGTAACCATAGGAACCTCTATCTTACCTGTCAAACGCCTTCTCCCTCGCAACCTTGACTCTCCTTCTATAAACCCTCTGTACCACAGCCTCAAAAGAAACACTTCCCCCACTACACCCCCCTTGGGCTTCTATTGCTTTTGCTATTGACAGTAACTTTTTGGTCTTTTTGGCTTGGCTTGCCTCGTCGGTTGCCATGGATTCTGTACTGTTTGGGGTATCGTGTTTATTTGATTGAGACTCTCCAAATAGGAGTCTTGTTGGCTGAAATGACTGTAGTGAGATGATGTAATTATTAGTTAAAAACAACTTTAAACGATAATAATCAGGGAAATAGTGGGAAGAAAAGGAAGGAAAGACGCCAAGGAAGGGAGAAAGGAAAGAAGCAAGGAAGCAAGGAAGCAAGGAAGCAAGGAAGCAAGGAAGCAAGGAAGCAAGAAGATTTACCACAGTTGTATAAAGTAACTAGATCTTTTTGGGATCTACAAGTTGCTTTTTATTCAGAGTTTGGAAAACCAGAGAATATGGATTGGGAAACCCCATAAATAACCAAGGGCAAACAACAAACAACTGTCACTTTAATTTCAAAAAAGCGTAAACATTTTTTTACCTTTTTTGGTGAAGAAACCAAGTGAGTAGCTCCTTGATCAAGTTTACTGCTGGTCCAGCTTAAAACTGAACAAAAACAGGAATATGTCAGGAACATAAAATTGCCTCTAAAGTATTTGCTGGTTTCTTCAAGTCGTAAAGGAAATTGAACCTGGTAATGATGATATTGTAGATGATATTGTGAATAAAGATTATGATGGTGGTGATGGTGATGGTGATGGTGATGATGGTGATGATGATGATGATGGTAATGATGATGGTGATGATGATGGTGATGATGGTGGTGGTGATAATGGTGGTGGTGATGTGATGTGATGAAGGTTATGATGATGGTAATAATAGTGATGATGATGATAACGATAACGATAATATTGATGATGAAAGTGGTAATGATGGTGATAATAATGATGATGATGGTGATGATGTTGATAACAATGATTGTGATGATGGTGATAATGATGTTAATGATGATAATGACAACAGTGATGATTATATATCATACCTGGAAGAGAGGCCACATCAACAGGTGGTGGTCCAGATGGTGTTGGTAGTACTTCACAGTAATAAGTACACAACAGGACAGGAAAGGGTGATGATGTAACATGGAGCTTTTGCCTGAAAAACAAGCAATAACCATCCAACATCATTTCTGTGGTTTTCAATATTTTGCACACGGCGTGACCACAGTCATCACCGAGGTCACTGCACTGTTAGACCAATCAAATTGCACAAGAAAACAACATTAAAAAAATAACTGTTCTAAATCTCGCGTTCTGATTGGTTGTGAGCGCGTGCTTTATGAGAGCACACAGTGCACAGTTATCGTAATTTGTATTTTATGAAAGAATTTAAAAACTTGCTTGCTGTACTGTGTGCAGTTATGAAGCACTTGGGGATTGCTTGCTGTACTGTGTGCAGTTATGAAGCACTTGGGGATTGGCAGAACACTCGAGAAGTGTCCAGAAGCACTCCGCTACGTGTCGTGCTACTCCTAACACTTCTCTTGTGTTCTGCCAATCCCCGCGTGCTTTATAACTGCACACAGCACGCACGCGTGTTTTCTATTTCTTCATCCAATCGAAATCCTAAAAAACYATCACAGTCACGGCAAGCAAGCATAAGATACCAAGCTTTTCACGGTAACGCGCTCTCACCACWACGCCACCCATGCTTCCCAACAAAATGAGTCTGCAATCAAGTAACACAGCGGTAATTTGGAACTCGCGAATGTCCTATTGCTTCAACTTACCATGGTGGGTGTATCCTTACAGCAGACCCCACTCTTATCATCAGCTCTTTCATAGTCGGAGTATCAAATACTATATCAAGTACATTGGGTGCTGCAGACTCTCCTTTATTCGGTAAGACACAACATCTGGTGATGTGTAGGGAGTACTGGGTCTGTAATGATAGTACCTGGACGTCAAGGGCTGAAGAAGAATCTTGCTCGGCTGCAGCTGAGAATATAACCAGTAAATAATAAAATGATAAAATAAATATCATTAATATTTTTTATTTTACGTCATGTCTCAGATCTGTGAGTTAGCCGTGCCCTGACTTAGATCA